TCTCATATTTGATCTCATTTCTATGAATTTCTGCAAAAATATCATTTTGTTAATTGAGAATGCTTTATAAATTTCAACAATTTATCATACTTACCTTTTTAGCTACTGACCTAATAGATACAATCTTTAGCTAACTATACCTAATTATTTGTAGTATGTATACAGTATAAATATAAAAATTGTCCTTTCATTGCATACTACACATAATGTTACATATCATAGCCGTTTTCCATGAAAACATTGTAAATATTAATATAATTTCTTCTAAATTATGTGGCTGGATAAGCTATTAATTTTTATAAAAATTTTATTTTTTTAATGAAAAAATATATTATTTTGATCTTTTGAACATTTATATGTAGTCTTTCACAAATATTATTAACAAAATTACTAGACAGATGTTTAAGATTAAGTATTGGATTTTAAGTAAAATGTTTTCATAAGACTACAAAAAGATAAATAATAAAATAACTGTCTTAAGTGTAGGTTCTTTAAACTTGAATAATTCATACTTTGAATGAATTGCAGAGGATCCAAGACTGTGGGCTGTTTTAGATGACGACATGATGCCAAATTTTGGAAAGGGGAAACGCTTTTGGAATGTAAAGTGTAATAACTGTAATAAAGAAGGTCATCAAACATACAATTGTACAGAACCTAGGAAACCTCCTCGCTGTCATATGTGTGGTACTCAAGGGCATACAGAAAGAAAATGTCCTAAGAAAATGTGCCTTACGGTTCGAATATGTTTCATATGGAATATATTACAGTAGTGCTTTACATGGTGCACGTTTTCCTGTCTCTTTCATTGTTCATTAAGCAAGATGATGTAGTCAAGAATTCAAGTCAATATAGATTTCATTATTCGCAGTTTATTTACAAAGCGAATTCTGTGCTGCGTGTCTCTGCTGGGACGCAAGCCGTACGAATGTGCGAAGTGAGATTGCAAGTATGGTAGTCTTTGACTATGAGGGTAGCACTGTCTCAGCAGAGAATCGTCCACCAATCAGAGCAAAAGAATTCTCCGCTACACGATTTGCGATCCGAAAAACGTGCAGCAGTAAGGTGTTACTGTATATTATAATCTTATAATCATATGCTATTCCTTTACAGTGTGGTAAATCGCAAGGGACATTTAGAAAAACTTGTGAGTTTTGTTGCACTTTATATTGTGACATGTGTAGAGCCATAGGACACGAGTCAACAGAATGTCCTGACCATTGGAGAAGATTCCATCAGACAGTCAGTTTCTTTTTTATTTAATAATGTAAATCTTGTGTACAGAAAAACTATGGAATTTTTCATTAATTTTTATTATTTCAGACACAGAATTCTGAAATACGCATTCCAGAAAATTTATCTGAAGTTATGAAACCTCCAGATCTGCTTTTCTGTTGTAATTGTACTCAACGTGGACATGATTCCTCTACATGCCACGACTACCGGTGGTCTCAACACTTTCCGACACCAGCATTTGTAACGAACTACACGGATGTACCATTATGTAAAAAACAAAAAAACACTACAAGCGAAGATGTCATACCATTAAAAAAAAGTACAAACAGAAAAAAGGAACGGAAAACTGTAACTACAAAAATTGTGGAAAGAAAAGATGACCTTCAAAATTGTTCCATTTTATACAAGTATGGAACTTTTGAACCAACGAGAAAAGATGGTCAAGAAATCTGTAAACTGTTAGATGGTAACATTTTTAAAACGAATAATTTTTTGGACGGTTTTGAACCAACTTTTTTGAGTGAATTGTTAGAGAAAGTTTCATTTGAACTAATAATATATCGTACTCAGAACCAAACATTCGCGAGAATACGAGCATTAAGTGGTGTTCCATTGTACATATATAAAATTTTCGAATTTTGGATGAAATTAGATAAAAGGGACAAACAGTCGTTAAAGTTGTATATAAATCTTCCATATGATGCGAAAAAGCTATACAATATGTTTACTGCAAAATGGGAAGAAATGGAACAGGTTTCTGCTGACCCTTATGCTCTATGCAAACAGATACAATCATTACAATCGTCAATGAGTGGAGCTTGTGATCCTTCTATATTACATACTATTTCTGACAGAGTACGTCGTTTACGAGGTAAATTACTAAATCTTTATAACAGACTAGTAAGTAATTGGCCGGAGATGCTTCGACAAATTACTAAACGATTGCACAAATGTTCAAACAACAACAAGAAAAGGTGTTTGACTGATAACGTGTATTGCCGAAGTATGTATTTGTATAACGAAAGTTTTTTACCGCGTATATTAACGAATAAAGAGGTAGATGACTTATTCAAACAATATCACAAACTCAATACGGAGGGCGAACGTAAAGAGAAACCCAAGAAAAAGAAGAAAAGCGATAAGACTCCGTATGAAAAGTTTATACTTTTCGAAAGAAGTACAGGAAAACGAAAAAAAGAAACTGCAACTTCATCAAACTTTATTCCTGAACAAAACGAGGAAATACTCACTTGTACATCCACACAGAATGTTTCTCAAGAACAAAGCGAGAAAATAATTAGTTGTCCATCTACTGAAAATATTAGTCAAGAACCAAATAAGAAAATTCCGAATTGTACGTCCAATGAAAAGGTTTCTCAAGAACGAAACAATAAAATAACTAGTTGCGCGTATACTGAAAATGTTATTCAAGAACAAAACAAAAAAATACCTACTTCGATTGATACTGAAAATGTTACTGAGATACAAATCATAAACGTACCAACTTGTACATCCACTAAAGGTCGTATTCAAGAACAATGTAAAGAAATACCTATTTGCACAACTACTGAAAATGTTGTTCAGGAAAAAAGCAAAAAATCTCCTGTTTCCATAACCATTAAAAATGATATCCAAGAACAAAGTAAGAAAAGACCCATTTGGGTATCTTCTGAAACTAATGTTCAATGTAATGATACGTTTAGTGTATGTCCTGTAGAAAGAACCAATTGGATTCGCCCCACAGAACATGTACAACTAGAAAATACGATAAAGCAGGGTCATGAGACAAATGTAACTGTTACATCTTTAAAGAAATCTACAAAATCACATATAATATTACAGCAATCTGGCAATAATTCTGAAAAAAACATAGAATCCGCAAAAAATAATAATATACCGCAAGCATCTAGTTCAAAAAAAGGTACTGTACGTTTTGCAGAAAAAATCAATTGGATTCGCCCCATAGAACATGTACAAATAGAAAATACGATAAAGCAGGGTCATGAGTTAAATTTAACTGTTACATCCTCAAAGAAACCTACAAAATCACATATAATATTACAGCAATCTGACAATAATTCTGAAAAAAACATAGAATCCGCAAAAAATAATAATATACCACAAGCATCTAGTTCAAAAAAAGGTACTGTTGTGTTCGACTCAACTTCAAAAAAGAAAAAGAAAAAAAGGGAGAAATCTGAAAGTAATACAGAAATTACAAAAAAAGAAGAGACAACTATTAATATATCTATAGAAGATAGAGCTCAAAAGGTAATAAATGAAGCGCTAAAATTCAATTTACCATACATGAATGACGCTGTAGAA